GTGAAAGTGAGGGAGGCCTATGGGGAGACGGCGCCAGGCGGAGCCGGGGGGAAGCAGGAATGTGACTGACATGGAAGGCACGGGTGATGCTAGCGGGTCAGAAGTAAACAGGCGGGTGTCAGGGACGTGAGCAGGTGGTGGGTGCGGGGCAGTGTGTGATGGGGTAACGGACCTGGTTAGAACAATGGGGTTTGGGGAGGGGCGGGGAGGCGCAGCAGAGAAGACTGCTGAGTCCGCTGGACCGTCACAGGTAGACGGTGCAAGAGTGGCCAGTGGCTCAGCCTGCATCTTTGCTGTTTGGGCAGTAGAGCTCAGTGCGGTGAGAAGGGGCCCAGAGGCAGACGATGTAGCAGTGTGGGACACCAGGAGTTGGGGCAGAGTGGGTGGGCAGGACGGTACGGTGCGGTGCTGAGAGGAAGCAGAGGGTGTCTGGGCGAGTGGGAGGAGAAAAGGCTGATGAGCTGAGGCAGGTTCGATCTGAAACCGCCGTGGAGAGATGCTGGCATCTTAGGCCTCCCTAAGAAGGCTGTCCTAGGGATGTCAGTTACTTTAGGGGAGTCCATGGGCAGAGGGCGTGAAGTGGGGAGCTATGCTTGTGATCTTGCATGTTTTCAAGGGCAGCTTGTTAATGAGGGAACCAGAGAAGAATCAGCATGGCCGCATGCTCCCCGTTCAGCGGGCCAGCAGACCCTGGACAACAGGAGGGTAATGTCGTGAGGCGGGTGAGAGACGAGGAACAGAAACAGCAGCAGAGAATGTATATGAGAAGCTCACACTGTGGGGATATGCTGTGCGGTCTTCATGAGCAGAGACCACTGGACAGCCAGTTATGAATGACAGGTAGTAGATTCAGTCAGGTGTATCTGAGGGAGAAGTATGTGGCTCTGGCGTGACTGTGAACTACAGACAATGACAGTATTTAGGTGTTCAATGTTTTTTCAATGGAAATGAGAGGAAAAGTGGAAGAAATACTGAAAGTGAAAATGGAATCCAGACACCTGTACAGGTATTAAAGTCACGCCCAGAATTATTGAGGGATATTACAGTGTGTTAACCCTGACCGTCAGTAATGAAATAAGTGGGAGAAGTACATTTAGAAGATCCTCAGGGAAGCTCTTTTCAGGTAATCATTTCAAAGTGGGTAGATTCAGAAGGGTAAAGTACAGTGCAGGGGTAAACTCACAGGTTGTCTGAAGGGCGGGCATGGGCCGCGGCCCTCGGACACCAGTGCAGTGGACGTGCAGAGGGGCCGGCGCACGGGAGGGTGGGGTCCTGCAGCGAGAGAGGGAGGAGCTCGCCCCTGTGGACAGCTGAACGCAGCTAAAGGTTAGGCATGTAGTGAGAAGCCTGGGCCATACAGACAAGGTGGTTTTTGCTGAGGGAAAAAGAGGAAATGAGTGGATATACCATGTGTACACTGTTTTGGGGGAAAGGTGTTAGAAAAACACAGCGTTTTATCATGGGTCACTATATGGGCCCCACAGAATGACTGGGCAAGTCAGAGAAATAAACTCAGATCACTTTTACTTAATTGAAATTGCAGATTTAACACAGAATGACAGGGTTTGCATTGAGAACATAGCTGCAGAGAGAAGTTCAGTCTGTGATAACTTAAGGTGGGATGGAAATGAGGAAGTATCGAAACCAGTCAAGAGGTTAACAGTGCTCATCAGTTATGAAGAGTTACAAGGCAGGCAGCAGCCTCGTGCAGAACAGAAAGGAAACTCATTACAACACATGTACTGTAAGACTTGATCATGGTATGGATATTTCCTTTGAAGAATTTTCGAGCAAGCTCCTTAAATCTGTTGAAGTGGTTTGAGATAAGAAATATGAGGTACTAAGGCTGGATACCAGGAATGGAGCAATATAAGGATTACAGGGATTCTGAATAGGCAATTGAACAAAAAGGATTGCAGAGTAAAAAGGATTAGAGTTCCAAAGTGGAAAAAAATTGGTAAATGTTGCATATATAATATGCGTCATTACCGGGGCAACAGATAAAGCAAAGAAAGCTGTGGAATGAAGAGACGACACCAAGAAAGAATACTGCCTTGAAGGCTTTTCGAAAGATGTTTAGATGTGGTAGATGGGTAGATGTAGTTATGGGAGGACAGCAGATAGCAAGTGAAGCTAACTGGATGAGGGTCACTTACAATATGAAAGGTTCACTGTCCACAAATGTCCATGATTTGAGGGGAGTAGTTATGGTAATTTCTTGATGCTGGTTTAAAGGAAAGTTTCAGATGATTTTGTGTATTTACAGAGGGAGTGGGGAAGTTAAAGACACAAGAAAGTACGATTAATTGCTAGAACAACTTGTTGAAAGAGGAGCATGTGTCTTCTAAACTGTGCAAGACTTGATTTTAAAGAGGTCAAAGAGAAAGTCAGTTGTTTCAAAATGGGAACAGTAATAGCTTCCATCTACGGAGTATTTCCTGTGAGTCTAGCACCATTTCATTTTCATACTTAAAAATTTTAAAAAGGCTTTTATGGAAATCAAGTAATTTGCCCATGATTACAAAGTCAGTATGTAGCAAGTCAAAACCCAAATCCAAATTTGTCTGTCTTCAAATCCTGTATTCCTTTCTTTCATGCTATACAGTTTTCATGTTGAAGGAAGTCACAATCTATCATTTTTAAATTTTTCTGTGATTATAAGGAAAGTATATTTTCTGAGAGGAGACAAGTGGAGGTGATGTGTAGCTCTTCAGGTGGTTGGTAAAAGTTGAAAAATCTGTGATGGGAAAATGCAAAAGAAAGGAGGGCTGAATACAGGGCTCCTACCCCAGTCTCTGCCCTGGCACCTCACTCTGGTTACTGGACAGTCGAGACACCACACTGGCCATGAGTGTAAAAGTTCAGGATTTCTGACGAAGACTATAGAAAGGAGTTTGTTTTTAAGCAGGTAGAGAATGAATCAAAAATAAATTGGCTATAACAAAATTTTAAAAGTCTAAGTGTTGAGACAAAATCCCCTTTCTTTTCTCCAAGTCAGTCACAAGAGTTTATAACTTTTTTAGTACCAGTCAGCAAATCCTTTAACGGAAAATTCTTCAAATGCCAATTTTTTAAAAACAAAAAACTAACAAATCATTAATAAAGAGCCCATAGCCAGCAGACCAAAGGTTGAAACCTCTGGGCTAATTTGTACGGTCTATGTTTTTAAAAAAAAAAAATTAACTCCTTATTCAAGAGGAGTAAGAAATCTGCCCTCTTCTTCCTCCCTTGGTAGAAATGTTTTCTGTTGTACTATGTGTAATTTCTGTAATTTCAATATTGTTGTTTTATGTATTTTGATGTTGTAAAATGGTATTCCGTGTATTCTGTTAAGACCACTCCCTTGGGGGTGAGGTACCTGAGTTACCAGTTATCCAAGTAAATCTGGGAAAATGGAAGGAGCTAGTCTCCTCAACTGGCAAGAGTTTGATATTTCAATGGGTTTAGCACTTTGCTTCCCTCAAAATTAAGCGATAAAATCATGGTATCCATTTAAAAAAAAAAAAAGGCCTACTAAGAAGTACGATAGGGAGAGGAATTCTGAAACAAGATTTGGCTACTGGGTTAAAAGTAACAAAGTGCAGAGCACCCAAGGATGATGTCAGAAGCCACAGCTATATTAAGCTGGGGCCCACACACCGGCTTAGAACAAGGGTGGAAAAAAGCTAGCCTTTTTAAAAGAGTATATAGCCCACTTAATTACTGGCTGGTGGACTTAATTCAGGAGATCGCACCAGAGCAAAAGAAACCAGGAAAGTATGCAAAGCTAAAAGTAAATTGAAGTTGGAAGCCTCATCAAAGGGTGAAAGAGGAAATTAAAGATCGAAGGTGAGGGCCCAACGCTCTGAGAAGTATTGGAGGTCACGCAGGAAAGTGCCTTCCTACCCAGGCAGTTATGGGCCCAGGGTGGCTGAGAATGGAAGCGCAGGTCACCCAGGGCCAGAGGGAACAACCTGGGGTTCACCCAGCACCGGTGCCAACTTGAATCTACCTCGTGCTAGAGTGGAGCAGCCTGGTCTATCATCCAGCACAGGTTAAGATTGGGCAGGAACTCCCAGAACCAACACTCACAGGGAGTTAGGAGAGGGGGCAAAAGAAGGCATGTTAAGCCCCAAATGTAACTGAATGATGACCAGGGATGACTATTTTACTAGTACTTTTACGATCTCTTGTAACTCTGTAACTTCCCCAATATTTGTTAAGTTTGTTACGCTCTTCTGTTTTTTTCCTGTACTAGTAGTAAAAATTGTTTTTTCCTGTACTGGTAATAAAATTGTTCAAAATATAAATGTTCTACATGTGTTTATTTTTGTAATCCCCTGGCAACAAGTGGGAAAAGAACTCAGGTGGGAAAATGGGGGAAAGAAATCAAGTACAACAAATACTTGACATGCTCAAGCGATATGTCAGAAAACCTCACATGCAACTGTTATACTAGGCACTGATTTCTCCTTCACAAACCCCGCTTCCACCGAAGACCACATACCGGTCAAGCAGCAAACTACAAAGCCTTCCTCAACTGTGGGTATACAGATGTTGACTAAGCCACTTAAAAGGCTGAGACATATGCTCAGCCTGTGTTACAGTAATGTCAAAATTGGTATTTTTTAAATGCCATGGATCTACTAAATCTTTAAAATGCCCTGGAAAAAACATCATAAGAAAGAGACCTTGATCATCACAGGTCCCACAGGTATCAAGCATACGACCCCTCACTGTGTCAACAGAAAGCCTTAGTTCTCTTTTGGGGTACTACTGTGTACCCTCACTTTCTCTTTTAGGACAGTGTCCAGCAAATTTACCCAGAGACTTACAAAGTTAACATTTCTATGATGATCAATTGTGTAATATAAGTGAAAATAGAGCGCATCATTATCATGACATTCAATTCTAGAAAAGAACTGCACTCCTGAACCCCAAACATTTGCTCCAATGCCTTCAAGAACTCAAGCAGTAATGCCTTCTGAACTCTGAGTATCCCTCCCCCTCGGGGCTAGTACCTGCTGTTGCATCATCATCAGGCAGGCGAACAAGCGTGTAACATATTCCTGGCTGATTGTAAGGGAGGCTGGGGGCCGGGACGCAGCACAGCACCTCACAGGACTCGGACGGCTCCACCTGCACGGTCACTTTCTCCAGCAGCTGGTCATTGAGCGTGTTGGTGCAGTCAAACTGAAAAGTCAGCGAGCAGGAAAGTCAGCAGGAGAAGAGCTGTGTTTCAAGCAGGTGCCCTTCCCTTCTGGAGGCCCCTGTACCTCCCCCGATACACCAGCACTGCCAGTTTCCTGAGACTTTGAGGCAATAGTGATAGAAACTTTTTCTTGAGGTCTTTTTGTTCTATTTTTCATCAGTTATTTTCGCTTTCCTGAGATATAGTTCTACCAAGCAAGATGGTAGAAGGCTGACAGTTGTCAGGAATCAAATGGGAAATCCAAGTTCTTGGAACGACCTATTAGTTTATCCTGATGTTAAGTGATGATCATTTTCATATTATCAAAAGCTACCCATCATATAAAGGTATCTCTGTAGTTGTGGAGTTAGGAAGAAAGCCAGAAAGGCTGCCAAGTTAGTTCCCTAGAAAGGGGTGAGACTGCCAGTGTGTGAAGGCCCCTGGAGGAGCCAGCAATGCACTGCTCTCACCTGGAACACAATGTGGTTTGTAAACATATGCTTGACACAACGCACAAAATACTCCGTCTCTGCTTCTGTAAGTTGAACAGGCTCGGAAGATTTGAACAAGGGTCCTAGGTTCATAAACTCAGGAATGGCAGCCAGTTGTTCTATCAAGGAAAAAGGAAAGTTAGAAAGTAAAATAAAGACATTTCTCTGGATGCTTAAAATGTTTTAAGATGCTGCAGCCCTACTAACAGTTGAACATGCAGTCACTGTGTCTCTGAGCTCTTGTGAAATAATCTTTTTAAGTAAGACAGTCTATATATAGAATTACAAAAAAACAAAATTAATTCCTAGTTTCTTAAGGATTGGAGCCTCTGTTAAACAAGATACAGAATAAGAACACATTCCCAGTTAGTCACAACCAGAAATCTGAAAGGCCTGTGGACTCGGCAGAGAGGCAGGGGCTCACCTCTGTAGAATACAGAGAAACAAAACAAAGGTTCGCGAAAGTCAAGACTAGCAGTATAGCCGTGGCCCAGAGGGGAAAGGGGATGGAGGGGCCACGGCAGGGGCGCGAGGAACACGAGGGAACGTGGTTCTAGGGTGATTATGGTGGAAGGGACATTACAAGGACTACACAGATAATGTCAATAAAAAATTAAAAAACAAAACAAAAACATGGGCTCTGGACAGTCCCGGCAAGAGGTAACCTATGGTAATACACTATATATAGTAACAATATAATGGAAATTCATGTACTGAGAATTAATCAAATGGCATAAGCGCGGTGGCATTCAGGCATTCGTTACACTTACAATGGCTACAGCACAAGACTGTCACAGCTACCCATCCAATCGTACCTTGGAAAATGTCCTGCCTGGAAGGAGCCAACTTCTCGGGCTTAGTAGTCACAAGAGTGATTTCTATAAAGGCAGATATGAGCAATAAAGTGAGCTTCACTTCCACTATCAAGCTAAAAATGCTGACAGATGAGGGCAAAAACTTCTAGCAGATATATATGGAATAGCTGCTATATCATACCAGCAGGTTTCCTGTCATCTTTTTTGGAGGGGACCCAAAATGTATTAACCCCACCCCCCACTTTCACAGAATCAGCCTTAAATGAACCAGGATAATTAATAACAATTACTCTTAATAGGAAAAACAACTCATAAAACAAATCTGATGATGATTCAAATAGGAAAAATTACTTGTATCAACAGAAAAACTAAAAATGTTTTAAGTTAAGCATGTTGAACGCTGAATCTTTTATCCACAGTTCTAACTATCAAACACTGCTTTCTCTTTTCAAAGTTAGATACCCATTGGGAGTATCTTTTATAATCTTGTCCCATACAGTCTTTCAAGACAAAATTGCCAATTTCAAAAAAGTAACATAGGACGTGACTGCACAACTCCTCTGTGACACACAGTGACAACTAACTTCAAAGGCTGCACTACTTAGCACAGAAACACAATACATTCGGTCTAGGTCAATCTAGTTTTTGTGCCAAATCTAGGAAAGATTTTTAAGCCCAAATATTAAAAAGACCATCCATTTTTGGAGCTGGAAAAGATCATGCTTAGTGAGATAAGCCAGAAAGAGAAAGAAAAATACCGGATGGTTTCACTCATAGCAGGAGTATAATGGACCAGGTGAGAAAATAACAAGAATAATGAACAACCATATACCAGAGACATTCTGGGGGGGTGGAGTGGGGAATGGGATCAAAAACGGGGGGGGGGAGGGAAGGGGGGGAAATGCATGTGACTATGGTGGTGGCACAGGGGTGATTTGGTGATGGGAAACCCGCGGGGATTACAATCGAGATGGCAAAAAAAATTTGCAAAAATGATGTAAAAATAAACTTTGTAATAAATAAAAAAAAAAATCAAAAAAAAAAAAGACCATCCATTTTAGTTCTAAGAGACATAAATGTAAGGAGTGACAGACAAAAATATGAGAGGAAAATGTGATAGGCAGCATTCTTTCACTGGTATAAAACTACTTAAAACTACTTATGCATAGAAAAACTAAGGTAAATGTTCCCATTACCTGCTTTCTGTTCAAAGACAGGAGTCATAGCAAGAGGAACTGATTTCATGTCAAAGGGTTTTTCTGAAGGTTCCAGTGTGTACTGGTGTAAGGCTTTTTCCATGCCTGGTACAGAGACCGTCAGACCTATAACACAGAAATCTTGGTATTACAACTTCTTATCAATCCCAGGATTCAGATAGGACTTGATCTGTAATATTCACCTAGCTTTTTTGAAGGAAGAGACAAACAGAACCACAGGCTACCTAACCTAAATCATTAAAAACAGAAGTTATTACATAAAACGGCCTTATATTTTCATGCAAGGAAATCATGGGAGTAGAGCATAAAAATCTTCAACAACATGGAAATACCCTGCAGAAAAGAAAGCCACTTAGCCATGTGGGAACAATGCTAGCTGAAGGAGGAGGAAAGGGAACCCACTCCGATGCACTCATGGAGAATGAAGAAGAGGCAGTACGTTATGGCCCTTAACGGATTTCACATTTCCCTAGAAGTAGAAGCATATTCAAAAAACAAAATCCAAGTAAATATTCTGCTTAATGAATGCAGTTCATACTTAAAACATCACAAGACACACCACCAAGACTCCATGCAGAGAACAACGCGTATCTCTCCATTTGGTTCTGTCACTGACCATTGAAGATGTATGTAGCGTTCAGGGCCATCTGCCTCTGCTGTAGCACGTTCAGATAGAAGGTGGCTCTGTCTCGCACCTCATCATCAGTATCCATCATACACCTGTGTGGGAATCCAGACGAGGGATGTCACAGCAGCTAGAGATTTCCAACAGACTAACCAGCCTTCCCAAGAACACAATTCAGGCCATCTGATATCACCTTTATAAAACCATCAAGAGCTTTATTGGGTTTGTCTTGAATTAGTAAAGAAACAGTATTATAATTCAGAAACAATGTAAATAAGCACTAACATAATTAGGAAGAACACCAGATAGAAGTTTGGAGTCTGTACCCACATGACCCAGGTAATGACTCAGACTTCTTTATAATTAACAGAAATATTTTACTTTCCAAGGATACACTAAAGCATTCAGAATTCAGACACTCAATTACTCAAATGGCAGTTCTGTTTTATCTAAATCAGGCATCCCTGGACTTGTCATTTTTCTGCTTCAATTACAAGAGGTAATCACAGTGTGTTTGCTAAGAATTCTCCTCCCAAGTAGGGAGTAATGGAGACCACGGACAGCTGACACACAGTGACGACACTCCACACAGTGACTGGCGGGGGTGCTCAGGGAACTGAGGCGAATGTATTAAAATCACTTTTCTCAAAGTCAGACAAGAAAAATTCAAAGTCAAATTTTATATGTAGTCGGCACACACAGAATTACTGGAAAGAGGTAAAAAATGCCATTTGCCTCTGACCTGCTGCAGCATCTCTACTGTTAAGACCTGGGAGTGCATTTTGATAAGGACAATGAAGAATTCCCTTTTCAGCCATATGGAGGTTTTGTTTTAAAATAAGCACAAGAGAAAAGAAAAAGACATTACCTTTGTAATAGTACCAGGATGCTTGGGAGTAGATTCTCATTCTGAGCCCCAAATTTAGCCAAAGCACTCACAGCAGCTATAATGAAGAGAGAAAATGAGGCAACACATAAATATTGATTTCTCAGAGTTAAGCAATAATCACTCAAAAAAAAAAAATCAGAAAGACTTCCCCATGCTAGTGGGAAGAAGTTTTTTTTTTTTTAAATTGTGTTTCTTGATCTAGCTTTGATGCATGTAAGCATAAGCAGAATTCTTTAGGCCCAAGAGAATGCTGAATAGGAAAATCCTCCTTGCGTTAAGGAGAAAGAATCAAGTATCTCCTCATCTCTTCCATGAGCTCTCTCCACCCCAACCACAGCCCCCTTATATAGGTTGGATATATAGCCAACTTCTAACCTCAAATGACCAACCCAATGATTAAAAAGAAAACTCCATTATTAAAATTCACCTCATTCAGGGTCCTTCCTGGTGGCACAATGGGTTAGGACTCAGCCCTGCAAGCTAGCCACAGCTACTTCAGTGCGAGTTCAATCCCCAGCCTGGGAGGTGACCCACATGGCGCAGCAGATCTCCCCTGACCCACCCACTGCTCCCCTCAGCAGTGTACTTCATTGATCTGCCTGTTCTGCTCCCCACTCTGTCTCTGGTGAAGCCTCTCACTGCCCCTGCACCTCTGGCTTGTACCACAGTTCAGTATGCATAAATAAATAAATCTTTTTAAAAAAGTTCACTCAACAAAGATTTATTGCTCACCTAACTTTAGTCAGGAACTGTGCTAGCTGTGCGGTTAAAAAGCTAAAACACACAGCCCTCGATCTCAAGGAGCTGTACTATAGGGGGAAAGCATGGGGAGGTAAAGACAATGTCGGCTTGTATGTAGCTGTAGTCTATAACCAGGACTGTGTGAGTACAGAGAACAGAAGTTAAATCAGACTTAGTGGAGAAGAGTTGACACAACTTGAGCTAAATTGTGAAGAACAAGGAGGGCTACTGAGGGGGAAAGGGCAGGAAGAGAGTAAAAGAAAGCACGGTCAAGCACTGGGCCCAGACACGTGAGCACGGAAGCAGCACACGAACATGAGGTGTGCTGGAGACACAGCAGGTGACACAGTAATGGTGTCCTCTCAAAATTATTAAAGGATGCCAAGTACAGGGTAAGTCTGTGTGTTTGAAAGACCATTTCTCTGGCACAGTGTGAAGAACAGACTGGAGATGTCTGCTAGGACTAGCAGTCAGCTGAGCTGGGCATCTGAAATGGACGAGAGCTTCAAGTAGCAACATGAAAACAAAAAAAGGAATGAAGAACATTAAGGAAACAGAACTGACAGAACATTGCCACCAAATGGGAGTTTATTATAAAGTTGCATTTTTGACTCCCACTGACTGGATGATGTAGGTGAGGACTTCAGTTTGGGACAGTGAGTTCACACTCAGCGCACAGTGAGGTATGCGGGACACGCACGGGCATGGAGGGGCATGTCTGCAGTTCCATGGCAGATCAACAGGGCCCTGAAATGAGCGCCAGGAGGCGACTCCCTGGGTGGGGAAAACTTACTCTTCAGGACTGGGGGTAGGAGAGAAGCTCTAAGTGAGGCAGAGGAGTGATGGAAAGATGTGGGATTCTGTGTACAGCGAAAGCATTCCAGGAAGGGTTTAATGAGCAGTATATCAAACAGCGGTAAAAAAAAGATAAATACATGAGAAGTGTCTAACTTGATTAGCTTATGGGTAATTTAAAAAATAGTTTGAGTATTTTAAAGAGAGCACTAGATTGCAGAGAAAATGGAAAATCTGTGGCGGCAGCTGGTAAGTGGCTACTTTAAGTTTTATCTAACATTGAAAATACAGCTAGTAGCTGGTGAGAGACACTGGATCAGAGGAGGCTCAAACAGGAGAGATCACCTAGCATCGCAAGGGCAAGGAATGATTAGCAACAAGTAAAAATAAATTCCTAAAACCTGGTGAAAAAGTCACTTAAAATCATTCGGACAGATTCACACACAAATTTCCCTTGCATTATGGCTGTAACTGAAAAAATAAAAAACAAAACAAAACCACACGCTGTCACCAGGTGTCCCTGTGAGCACCAAGGGCTATTTGTCTCTTAACACATGGTGGAAGACAGTCCACCACCAAACCTCACAACGTCACTTTCCGACTTCACTACGAGCCCCTGGAGTCAAGTGTCCAAAAGACCAGCAGCCACACCGCCCCCGGCGCGCCATCGACTCACCAGCTCTCACAGCCTCGTTCTCCAGGACCACCCTATTAAAAATAAAGCGGATGTACTTGGAGGGGACCGGTGTTCTGGGGCCCTCTTTGCCCAGCAAGTGTAGAATCTTAGTAGCCAGAACAGTGTGTTCACAGTCCTCAATAAATTCACAGAGGTGGGCGAGGCCCGCCTCTTTACTCTCGGGGTTCTCCTCCACGATGCTGATGATGCAGTCCACGATGGCCCGCTTGTACTCAAAGCCTCCCTGAGGAAGAGGAGACTGCTGTTGGCCCAAGGACACTTCTGAAGGAGTGTTTGTACACCAAGTCACGTGCTTATAGGAATCAAATTTCATTTCCCACCCTTATGATAGGTTTTTTTTTCTCCAAGTGGGAAAGCCAGTGCACCAGCGTGTCTAGAAAGGCAGGACGGCACCGGAAGGGTGTGTACCACCTGACAGCTGTACCGAGAAAAATCTACTTAAGGTACCATGGGACTTAATGGGAATCACAGGCCTGAGGACGTCTGTGACTGACAAGCAGAGTCCACCTACGTCGTCGCGGAGCATGTTGGACAGGAAGGCCATCATGACGCCGTGCTTCCGTGGGTATTTCTGACAGAGCGCGCTGATCGCCTGTACGACCACCACCTGTGGAAAACACAGAAGAACGTGCATCTTCAGGACGTCAGCCGCTGAAGCATACTTCCCTGCTCAGTGACCACCAATGACGAGGGTGCTGGGGTAGTAGTCACCGAAGACGACAAGATGGTACTTTATGAGACACAAACAAGGCTAACTCAGGGAAAACAAAAAACAATGTAAAATGAAGTTCAGTCAAAAGACTTTAAAACAAAGTTCAATCAAGAGACCTTATTCTTTTGCTCCAAGCAAATAAGCATACAACTTGCTCAGAATTGTCTATTTAAGATAGAAAGTGGTAACAGACTGATTTCCACAGAAGAAATCAAGTTACCAAGGACCTACCTCACAAAAGGGTTTCTAAGGGAATTTTATCACAACTCTCAAGACCAGCGTGACGTGAGCCAGTGTGATGGTGTACCATATTATCAGGTGAACAAGCTAGCCTACCACAATTCCAGGCACGCTAGCAGAAAACATGAGGCTTGTAGATCAGAGGAGAGACAGTAAGTTGCTCACAGCAACAGTGTAGCTTAAGTGTCAGCACTGGGAAGCCAGAATCCTGAGCCCCCAGCCCCACAGGCCACGAGAAAGAGCCAAGGGATACCAGCAGGAAGGAGGCACGGTAGAAGAATCTTGCAGGTAGAAATTCAGTGTTTTACAGTGGCTAGTGAACAGTGACGGCCCTCTGTTCACAGGGAGGCACCGTCTTTAGTGGGTGGGCGTAAGCAGACTACTGTGTTCTCTAGAGGGAGCACTAGCTGCATTTCCATGGCTGTCTAGAAACCTGCTCTTTAAAGGGAGAGACTGTGTCTTTTAAGCCTGAAGATTCTGCAGCGTGCAAAGGGAGCAAAGCTAGGATAGTGTGAGGCCAAAGGCAGTCAATGCAGACCGTGCCACATGTGCACAAATGCAAGAAGCTCTTGAAAAAACTGGGAATTATGTCCGGACAGCCAGACAGTTCCAAATCTAGGCACATCACCTCACAACAGAGAATACGCAGGGAAACAGCCAGGTGCTGTTTTTTCTAATGTAGCAATGATGCCCAAAACTAATAAACATACGTGTACAAATAGAATATTTACAACAATAAATCTGTGAATATTAGAAAGGAAGAAGACAAATGTCAGAAGGTGTCATTCATATGTGGAATACAAAGAAAACAAAGAACCAGACAAAACCCAACCGTGATGAACCCTGAGCTCTGACCGCAAACTGAGAGCACGGATGGGAGGTGAGGACACCAGGCGGGAGGGGGCACCATGGGCTGCGGTGAAGAACATGCATCTAAAGAGCCTTTATTTCTCAATCACCTAGTGTTACCTCCAAAATATTATAAAATACGAAATTCTAAGTAATATATTAACTAACAGACTCCAATACTACAGTAAGAAAATATACCATTAGCGAAATGGAATTTATGCCAAGAATGCAAGAATGGTTCAGCTTGGAAAATCAATATAGTTTGTCATATGAATCATTCTAAGGAGAATAATCATGACTGCATCCATAGGTGCTGAAAAACTTTGATAAATGCCTATATTCATTTCTAACTAAAATTATTAAAGAAGTAAAATAGGAATGAATACTTCCATTTTACACACACACCCCTCTATCTTAATGCTAGCCTATTATTAAAGGGAGAAACCAAAGACATTCTTACTAAGGTCAGAAACAATGTAGAGTATCACTACCTCCACCATTAGTTAACATTATTTGGATCTATAAGCCAAAGCAAATAGGCAATTGGAGAAAAACAATTGAAGGGAATAACAATCGGAAAATAAATTACAAAACTCTTTACAAAGGACATGACAGTGTAACCTGGAAGCCATCATGAACCAGAGATAAAACTGAAAATAATGCAACCAGGAAGAAGATACAAGTTAACATGCAAAAATAATACTATTTATATACATGACTAATGACTAGTTAGAGGATACTGTGGGTGAAAAAATCCATTAAGGAAAAGCATTTAAAAACCACTCAAAACAAACATAATACAAAGTATTATTAAAAAGCACAAAAGTGACCTGAACAAATTAAAAGGCATCCTTTGTTCTTGGTGAGGCTGTCTCTACATCATTAATATAAATTTAATGTGATCCAAATAAAAAGACCAACACAATATTTTCTTTTCTTCTTTCACTAAAATTATTTGCAGGTCAATGATTTTTTTTTTTAAACAAAGCTGAACAAGTTCATGAAAAAATTCATAAAGAAAAATAACTGTACAATTATCTAGGAAGACAATAAAAAAGAGACTAATAGATTTTAATACATCCTATAAAACATCTATCTTCAGAATAGTGTGGATGGATGTATGAATAAAGACAACAACAGAACAGAAGGTTCAAAACAAGACCCAAGTCCTTAGACTCGTGAGTACATACTATTATATAAAGATGACATCTCAAATCACTGGGGAAAAAAATTAGTCTTTGAAACAGAAATTTTACAGACAACTGGATAGTCAATGTAAAAATAAGATTAAACCCTTTTCTCGTACCATAGGTAAAAATAAAACCCACTGGCACAGAGGTCTAATTGTAAAACCTGGAATTGTGCATGCATTAGAAGAAAAGAGGGATGAATTCTTATTCACTACTAGGATTCGATAATCTGAAGGGAAAGACTTTCTATTACTTAAAAGTAATAAAACTGGGCCCTCCCTGGTGGCGCAGTGGGTTAAAGTGCAGCACTAGGAAGCTAAAGCCACTCCTGGCCCACTCGCTGCTCCCCTCCGCAGTGTACTTCGTCAGTCGGCCTGTTCTGCTCCCTGCTGTCTCTTGTGAATCCTCTCACCACCCCTGCACCTCTGGCCTGTACCCCAGTTCTGTATGCATAAATAAATCTTAAAAAAAAAAAGTAATAAAACTGTAACAAAAGAAAGATTAACTCATTTTGTCAAATAAAAATAAAATTTGGCTTCACAAAGATATAGTCACGAGACAAACAACAAACTGGAAAAAATCGTAATATATTTTACAGGGAAAGCACTAATATCCAGAAGATAAAAAAAACTTTCAACTACTGAGTAAACAAAAGGCCAAGAATCCTATAGAAAATGGGAAAAAAGACATTCATAAAGGTATTAATGATTCTTAAAAGATGAAAATACTTAAGTATCCTCATAATAAGAAAAACTCAAAACTGAAATTACTTTGAAATATCCATTCTCACCCATTATATAGGTAAAACTTCAAAATACAATCTCAACTCTATTAGGAGGCTATGAGGAAACTGGCACACTTACACACCGCTAGTAAAATTTGGTATTCTCTACAAATTCAATTTACTCTTCAACATGGCATATAGACTTCTGGAATTTACCTTGAAGATACACCTCCAAGATAAACAAAAACATATGCATCAGATTATCGGCTGCAGCAGGACTGGTAAATGCAAAACACCACAAGCAGCTCAAATGCCCAAACACAGATTTGTTCAATAAAATATGCTACAAAATAACCTTCATAGATCTCCCAGTGTTTCAAAGATTCAGAATGTCCACTTGAAATGTACAGGCTAAGTTTGTTTTAAAAGTCTAGATATACAGTAAACAGAGAGTAAACAGGGTCAGTAATACTTATCTAAGAAATAATGCAAGAATAAAATCTTTCTACTTTAATTTCTCTCATTAAAATCTACTGTTCTTTTGATTATCTGTAACACATTCTCAGCAGTTCTATTTAACACTGTACTGAAAGTCCTAGCCATTTTAATAAGACAAAGAAAAAAAAAGCATTGGGTTGGAAATCAACAAGTAAAACTGTTTCTATTTACAGATATAATTTATATAGAGCATCCTAAGGAATATATGTAACAACTATTATTAGAATCAACTACCAAGTCATGGAAAAGTTTTTTAAAGTATTTTTAATATACCAGTGGCAAACAATGAAATAGAAGTTTTAACGAAAGAATTTTTAAAAATATAAAATATTTAAATATGTATTTAACAAGATGACATGCAAGACATCTAGACTAAATGCTATAAAACATTATTCAGAGATATCGAAAATGACCTAAATCAAAGGAGAGGTATACCATATTCATGAAGATGTCAGTTCTTCCCTGATTCAACCCCAATCATAATCCTAGTAGGCTTTGTTTTATAAAAATTATTAGTTGGTTCTAAACTTTATATGGAAATGCAAAGAAGCCAGAATATTAAAAATAAAGGACAATGATGGAAAACTACTCCACTTGACATTTAAGGAGGGTAGCCTAAAGCTACATGAATCAACAATGCGGTATTAGAATAGGACTGACAAATTGACCAGTGGAATATGATAAGAACCCCAGAGACACCCTACAATTATATTGTAGCTGTTTTGTGTGCAAGATGCCAAAGACCTTCAGTGAGGAAAGGAAGTCTTGTCAAGGAAGTGTGCTGGGATGACTGAAAAGTGACAATTTATTGCATATGAATAATAATTTAAATTGAATCATAAACCAAAATGTGCAGATTAAATTAATAAAATATTTAGAATAAAACATAAGAAAATATATTTATAAGTTGGAGGTAGGCAAAAGTTTCTTAGACAAGGACACAGTGCTAAATGAGAAAATACTGATAGATTAGACATATTAAAAAATTTAAAACTTCTAAAGACATGATTTAAGAGGCAAGCCACAGACTGGGAAAACCATGATCACATTTCATTTTACCTTGAACTCATCTGAAATTTCAGACACAAAAGAAGATATCTGCTTCATGAGCCTGTCCACGCTGCTCTCACTGCCTGTTTTGAGGAGTGTAGTGATGGCCAAGGTGGCAATGCTTCTGTTGGAGTCGGTGATTAAGTTTTCTAAGTCCAGATTGCAGGCAGTAACAGCAGAAGGGTGTTTCATAGCCACCTGGTGGGAGGACCAGGAAAAAAAATTAAGCAAATTGCTATCGATAAAGGACAGGATTTTAAAAAACAAAGCAGAATTGGAGTTCTTAATTAAGTTTAGTAGCTGTTAAAATTCTAAATGGGACTAGACAGGTTAAAACTCTTTCAAGAAGAACATGTCCAGTTAATAAGATACACTATATCTCATTTATAAATGATTACCTGCTATTGTCTAGCACATCACTTTCTCTCCTAGGTTGCCATAACCTTGAGAACAATATCACAGTCTGTATTTTATTATAATTTACCTCTTTCCAGTAGTTCATGGGTACATATATATCTATTCTACTAGATATTAGGGTCTCTAATAATGGGATTTATCAAGGTACACATCACACAAAAATCAATAACTTAACACTTAAATCATATGTAAATATGAACTCCAGCAAGCAAACTCCAAACAAATTGGATTACTCATGATTACTGAAACATGTCTGGTGTTCTGCTTCTCTGCTTTTGTTAATATTTTTCACATCTTTGATATCCAGATATTTCATTGTATAGAACCCTTATATACAGTTTTAAAAATCTGAAAACTCAGCAAAGTACTATTCTAATATTTCCTCTTCACACAATTTACAATTGATTGCATATTGTTTAATGTACAGGATACTTGACATAAAACTTTAAATTTTTCATGATTTATTCTGTTTTTGTATAATGATAGAACTATGCTGTTAACTGACAGTCACAGATGACTAAATATGTGAAATGTGGTGAGTCCAAATTAAGATATGATATACTGTAAACACAAAATATATACTGGATGGATGCCACACAGTATGAAAAATATATATACTTAATCATTTTATATTAATATTTTATATATACTAGGGCAAATCAGATTTGGTAACTCTGATTTCATTTTAAAATATTTTGAATGTAGCTTCTTTAAAATTTGAAACCACATATGCAACATACATTATGCTTTCACTAGACAGTGCTGCTAAGACCAGCACTGCCCAAGAGAACTTTCACCAATCACAGAAATGTTCTATACTCGCACTGCCCAATGGGACAGTCACTGAAACGTGCAACCAGTGAGTACATGGAACGGGACTAGGAACTGAACTTTTAATTTTAGCATATTTTTAAACTGAGGTGCAACTGATACAACACGTTAGTTTTAAGTGAACCACATGATTCACCATTTATATACTGTAAAGTGATCACCCTATGTAGAAACATGTGTCACCACAGAGTCACAAAACATTTTTCTGTTGTGACGATAACATAAGATCTACTCCTAGCAAACTTCAAATATACAATATTAACATAGCCCCCCCACAGTTGTACATTAACAGTATATTACCCCCTCCCAAAGCATTTTTTTTAACAAAAATAATTAACTTTAACAAAAAGTCTGTACCTTTTGACTCCCTTCACCCTTTCGCTGACCCCTCCAACCACCAATATACTCTTAGGTGTCTATGAGTTCACCTTTTTTGGGGTAGGGGTCTTTTTTTTTTTTAAGCTTTCACATGTAAGTGAAATTTACAGTATCTGCCTTTCTCTGATTTATTCACTTAGCATAATGTCCTCAATGTTCATCCAAGTTGCAAATGGCAAGGTCTCCTGTTCTACGGCTGCATATTACTGCATGTATGCCACCTTTTCTACTTCCATTCATTGATCAACAGACACTTAGACTATTTCCATATCTTGGCTACTCTAAGTAATGCTGCAGTGAATATGGGGGAACACCCATTTTTTTCAAGTTATTATTTGCTTTTTCTCCCCCAGAAACACCCCGAATGGAACTGCTGGGTTATATGGCAATTCTAGTTTTAACTTTTTGAGGAATCTCTATACTGATTTTCCAAATGGTTGTACCAGTTTACATTCCCACCAAAAGGGCACAAAGGTTTCCATTTCTCCAAATCCTAGCCAATGCTTGTTATTTACTTATTTATTTTTTGTACTAGCCATTCTAACAGATACACACAGTATAGCTCTGGATTGATAAGTGCTTACAAATTAGAAATGAAGTTGAATAATAGTAAAAATGGTCACAACTAAGTCCACAAATACGAATGAAGTATTATAAAAATGAAGCCCATGAATCGTCAAAGAAAGTCAAATAATCCAAATTTAACGTCTCATAATTAAACACTATTATAAATCAATAGTTAGAAATGGACACCCACCTTATTCAAAGTTCTCACAGCAGCATATCTCAAAGCTGGCTTAGGAGAGCTACAGAAAAGCTGCAGAACTAGGAAAGAAAATAGATCACTGCCTATAGCTCATTTATTAAATAATAAATACATCAAAACATAGTATACATAAGAGAATTATATTTAAAATATGCATAAGATGATTAGATTACAGCATTAAAAATTTACATGAACAATGTATCTTCAAAACTAGAAATGCATTATATTGAGCTATAAAAATTTAATAGAAAAAACAAAGTTTGTTTATTTCTTAATAAATATAACCATGGTACGTATATATAAATGGCAAAAATAACTTACACTTGTAAGAGCAAACGAACTTTGTAAACATGAGGAATTGAAGGCATTGAAGTTACTCTGTCTTGAAAGTAAAAACTTTTAATGTTTTATATGGCGGAATGGTAACTTCAAAAAAAGGCAATTAAGAAAAAAAGCTAAAGTCTACATTATCAGAATGCAAAGGCTACATATACACACAGCTAAGGTTCAAAAATCTGCCTTGCTATCTGTGCTGCAGACCTATGGAATTTAAACAAAAACGTAAGAATATAAACAAAAGCGAATCCTCCAGTAAGCAACTAACCTGAAACAGCAGGTGCGAGCTCCCTTGCAGTACAGCTGGGAAGGTGGATGACAGCTGAAGCAGCTTCATAAATAACCATTTCGTGTTTATTTCTCAAGCAGCTTTCAATGAAATCAAAAAGTGGACTTTCATGGCTGCCAATAAATATACATAGGCTGTCATTTAGAGATCAGAAAAAGAGGCAAATGTGTACAGTGTTTGAAATCACAGACAGGTTGTGAGGTTGAGAAGCCCTTTTGGAATTGTGGATGAATGGCTTCTGAAAATGCACGCCTCCATAAAAGCAATGTGAACACAAGAGAAAATTGCCAGAATCAACTTTTTCATCACTTTCAAAGTTAAAGGCTTGCAACAATCCTCTGAATGTTTACTCAAGAAAAAGACTTTTTCGAGTCTGTCTGAGGACTGTAACCTTTCTGATGCTTTTACTTGCTTTTTTACCATCCTTCTTCCCAGTTTCATCCTTAGAACACAGCAGCTTGGAAAGCCGGCAAGCTAACTGCGAGGGCGGTAGGCAGAAGTGTTTAGAGCTCCCTGAAAGTCTTAGCCCACAGAACTGTCACTGTTTGACCTTATTAGTGCTTTCTAGGAAAGTCCCATTCATGAAACTAATTTTAATTTTATCTGACTTAAAGATCCATCAGTGAGGAAAGCCCTAGCCTCAGGGAGTTGTTTCCTCAAATCAGAGGCAATTATTTCAAAGTGCAGTAACCAGAGGCAATAATTCCAGTTGCAGCAAGCAAGAGGCAGGCTCAAAAACTTAAAAGGATGATCTGAGGAGTAAGACATCCACAGGGAGATTTCGACAGCTTCTGACATATTCCTAGGGATCTAAACTATCATGAACACACAGAAGTGTGTGCAGGGGCCCAGGAAAGACCAGAGCACAATTTCTCGGCTATGCTCGACTTCCAGGACCTGCTCCAGCAGCCAGTGAGGTCTAAGGCAGACTGTAAGCAGCCAGAATAAGGAAAGCAGGACCCAGCTCACGAAGTGTCACTGCAAAAGCACTGGAAACCTGATAATTTAAAGCATTTTTAAAAATTTATTATTTGACAATTCAGCTAACTAAGGAGAGACTTCAGGAATCACCCACGACAATGACTAAATAATTAGTCCCAGAAATTCACTTAAGAAATGGCAGCAAACAGCAATAGTAACAAATTCTGAGAGGCAGGGAGGGGAATCTAATTACCAGTTACCTTAGCTTATTAAATAACCATTTTGACAAAAAAATTATGGCACACAAATAACACAGTATAGTCCAGACTTAAGGGGAAAAATGTAGTCCATACAAATTATTCCTGAGGAAGCTCAGATGTTTGCAAGACAAAAATTAACTAATATAAACATAGTCTAAGAAAAGGAAATTATATATAAAGAATTAAAGCAAAGTGTAACAATCACTCCTCATCAAGCAGATTGTCAATAAAGTGACAGAAATGTGTTTTTCAAAAGGAAAAAAATAGAATTCTGGATTTGCAAGGTAGTGTAACTCGAATGAAAAATTCACAAGAGTACTTCAACAGCCATATTTTCATTAGCAGCAGAAAGAACCAATAAACTTGAAGAAAAGTAAATGGAGAAAATCCAGCTGAGGAAAGGAAAGATAACAACAAAATAAACAAGGCCTTTGTGGTCAGTAGAATATGTACCAACATATGTGTAACAGGAGCCAGAGAAGGAAGAGAGACACACAAAGGGATAAAGGGAATATCTGAAGAAACACAGTCATACAATGCTCAGTGACAGGTGTCTATTCTGAGAAAAGTGTCATTAGGAGATTTCATTGTTATACAGATGGCAAAGAGTGTAATTACACAAACTTAGATGGAACAGCCCACTACACACTCAGGTACAGAGTATATCCTACTGGGAATATCATATGTGGCATGTCACTGACCAAAACTTTGCTCATTGACACATAACAAGTCTGGCCCAAACACCTCCCAAATATGATGAAAAGTATTAATCCATGCACCCAAGAAGCTCAACTAATCCCAAGCAGAATACCATAGTCAAACTGCTGAAAGCGCAAGTCAGAGAGAAAATTTCAACAGCTGTTAGATAAAAAACCACTTCTGTTTTACAAGGGAGCATCAATACAATTAGTGACCAACTTTGCACTTGAAGCAATGGAAAAGAGACAAGAGAATGCTGTATTCAAGATGCTGAAATAAAAACTCTATCCCAACAAAACTAGACTTAAAAATGAAGGTTTAAATACATTCTCAGATAAGCAGTGACTAAGAGAATGCATTGCAAATGACTCAGCTTACAAAAAAAAGATTAGAGGGAGTTGTTTAGACACAAAGATTTCCCATTAATAACTAAGGAGAAAAATAGTGTTATAGTTAAATATGTGAGCTGATATAAAAGAGCATGTAGATTTTCTCTTAATTACTTGAAAGTACAAAATTATAACTGTATTATTGGATTTACAAAATATGTAATATACATGAAAACAGCCCAAATGAAGATGTGACATCGTAACAATATTGATTGACTATTTCAAACATGGTATAGACCCACTTAGGTTCATACTACCACATTTTATAACTTTCTGTGGAAAGATGTACATAATTTTTGGTAGGCTTATTTCTAAGGCTTTGATTACAATACTATTACAGATGGAACCATTTTTCCAAATTTGTAGCTTATTGGTTGGCTGTTGGAATATGGACATAAAATTGATTCTGGACATTAACCTATCCAGCAACTTGGGTAATTTCACATTTTTGCTCTAATAGATAATTTTTATCTCTTCTATATATAGAAACAATGATGTCCTCTGCAAAGATAGTTTTATATTCTCTTTCAAGTTTTTTTAGATATTTTTTCTTGACTTACTACACCAAGCAGGACATACAGAAAATGTTACTAAAAAGGATGATTAGCAAGCATCCTAATCTCTCTAGGGTGGGAAACCACTCACAGTTCACTGTAAGTATCAAGTTTACTGGAGATTTTCTTGCATGTTACCAATAACAATGTTCATTTATATTCATTTATTTTCTTGCATGTTACCAATAACAATGTTCATTTATATTCATTTAAAAGAAGTTAATCATGAATTGCCAATTGAAAGATAGCATCTGCTTTTTTCTTGTGTCCATTAAGACATTAAGAATTTCCCACTTTAATTTTCAAATGAGGTGTGGTTTTTGAATGTTAAACTAATCTTACAATGGTAGAATATGCATTGGGAAATATTTGCCCACTATTTCTTCATATATCTTTTTTTCCTTCAATCTCTCATATCTTTCCCCTATAATTTCGATTCTGTCAAGTAGTAGTTCACTTAATGTTTATCTACAGTTCTGAGACTTTTTTCCCCTAAATCTGATCCCTGCGTTCCATACATCAGTTGTTTTAGTTTATCTTCAAATTTTCTGATTCTAAGGTCTTTACTCTTTCATTAGCCATCTCTAATCTGTAGCTCAGGCCACCCAGCAAATCATCCAATTCAGTTGTTATTACCCACGGGGCAGGCAGAACATGTGCTGCTCAAAAAATTTTTTTTCCATGCCTTCATCAATGGAAGCTTAGAATGAGGGTGTTCCATTACATGGCCCAGGAAAACCCCAGCTTGGATACCAGACTTGATTAGCAAGCTGTCAAAACTGCATATGCAAATTCTTTGTGTTAAGTGTCTATAAACATTTATCTCTCGGGTTCTTGTCGGTTTGAATTTTGACTGATAAAAAATTTAAACTTAAGAATTTCTCTTTTGCTCCTTTCCATGGTTTCCATTTCTTCTGCTCATTAACCGTTTTTTATAAAAGTCCTTAACAAATTTATAGTTGATACTTTAGAAACTTTTGTCAACTCCAATGTCATGGGCAGTTTCTACTAATTGCTTTTTCTCTTAACTACTGGTCATATTTTCTTTGCACTTCCAGCAAATCTCACGCAGGACAGCTTCTGTCTTGCAGATACCAACTCTTCTCCTGTTCCTGTCAATTTCACCACTTGGCAATACTTTAAAATACTTTGGGGTTTTTTTCTTGTTTGGGAAAACTACATTTAGCACTAGTGGTGTAGTCATTATTTGCAGAAAGCTAATATGACCAAACTACTCCATTACTAGACAGGAAACTTAATATTTTAACTTTTCATTAACACATTACTTTTCCTAGGTTTTTCTTTCCCTTAGTTGTTACTCAAGATATTAAAATAATCATCCTTATATTATCAGTCTATGACAACATACTACTACTTTACAAGTGTGTCATTCTATGTTCTCCCTAATGTACTTTAAATAAAGAAATCATTAAATGCTATATACTTCAGCATTTTTTTTTTTTTTTAAAGATTTATTTATTTGTGCATACAGAACTGGGGTACAGGCCAGAGGCTCAGGGGCGGTGAGAGGCTTCACCAGAGACAGAGTGGAGAGCAGAACAGGCAGATCTACAAAGTACACTGCTGAGGGGAGCAGTGGGCAGGCCAGGAGAGGTCTGGCTCACCATGTGGTCTCCTCCGGGGCAGGCGGCAGGCGGGAATCGAACTCATGCGGAAGTGGCTTCAGATTCTCAGTGCTGTGCTTTAACCCGCTGCGCCACCAGGGAGGGCCTCAGCATTCTTTTAAATATTTTTAATGCCACTTCTAGCATTCACATTACTGTATATCCTGTTACCTATAAGTATTTTCCATTCAATTATCAGTTTATCAATTATTTACAATAATCTATTATACATATTCCAGAGCATACCTTAAAATTTTTTAAAAAATGTGTTACTTGGAATCTAATATTTAATTTTGAAAATATCAAATCCATCTGTCAAGTCAGCTCCATCCAAAAAATGCTGATCAAGGAAATAAATTCTGCAGTACGTTAACCAGCAAATGGAAAAATACTCAGGAGTTAGGTCAAGACACTTACCCCTCTTCATTTTCTTTTAGTAAGCGACTGGCAATTCGGATCAGCATACAGTAGGCAAATTGTGATTTCAGACCTGATTTAGTAAATTTATTCAGCATCTTAGAAACAGCAAGGCGATCGTTCTTTTTAAGGTGATACAGGACTCCCAAGGCATGGTACTAAAGAGTATGAAAGAGGAGGCAACATACAGAAAGCTGAGTAGAAAGCAGACAAAATGTACAGCAAAACTGAATTGCATAGAACTAGGTTTCTAGTAAAAAGATCGTGTCAAATGTATACAAATAAAAAGTATTTTTCACACACAGCCAAAACTGTAAGGATGAGTTTCTAAGTTGTAAATTCAGACTGGACAAGTATTAAAAAGGTGACAAGTAACCTGGAGATGGTTCTAGATGGTTCTAGCAGGCTCAGCGTCACTTGCTAAGACCTTAACTCAAAGGTTCTCAGTCCAGAGCTTCAGGTGCTACTGGGCTGTTTTAGTGGCTTTAAATCAACTGTAGCCATGTTAGTTGTTACAGGACTGATCTGTTAAAGTAAGCTTAAGGAGTATAATTACACGGCACTTTGTGTAGAAACAATGAGTGGAGTAAGAAGAGCGAGAGAGCTTCCCAAGGGGAAAATTAGCACTCTGTGTCTTCTTCATAACTGAGTATGTTAACACATGCAGCAATAAACACTGAGGGGGGAAAAATAAGTACCCTCTCAAATACAAATGGGGTAACTTTATGTAAAATTGCCAGTTAAGAAATTAATCTTGTTCCTTTCAATAAGGAGTAGGCTAATAAGTATCCAAAGATCTCTCCAACAAAGATCACAAAGATTTAAAGATCACAAAGTCAAAATTACTTTTCAGTTTTTATAATGTCTAATATAATCCAGACCTTAAAAATGTGGAACTGAATCTCCTTCACAAATTGTTTCAAACAAAGGACGGGAATACTCCTGGCATAAATATCTCAAACTGAACAGTGCAATCCTTCCCAAATACTCTTAGAGGGAACCATCTAGATTCCACACACACTAGTCAGGCCTATGGGCAGGAATCATGATTAGTGGGGTAATAAGCTGAAGAATTTCCTTTAGTTAATGTTGACCTGGGAATCAAATAAATTGCCCCTAAAACACTGATTATCATAAGACATAACATAGTATGGAAAAAATAACAGTACCTGGACCATAATATTATCACTTGAAGCAGCTTCTTGGGCTTCATTGACCCATCGCTTAACCACATCATAGCTTATCTTCATCATGTGCTAAATAGAGGGAAAATGAGAACAGAGAACACATGGTCATCAGAAGTTTAGAAACCTTAGTTTTCTTGGAAAACCACTAACAGATATTTGTAAAGGAAACAACTAACGCTGTGGCTTTATAAGTTCATTTCATGTCTGAGGCACCTAATAAGCCAGAGATACTTTCTCCAAGACCCCTTTGCAAAAGAGGTACATAAAGAAGTAGCGGGAAGGAAAAGACAGGAAGACAGGAATGGAGAGTTTAACAGCCTGATATCTAACTAATGTTAACATTATAGGTCTTCCAGGAAACTCATCCGGAAGAAAAAAAAAGAAAGAAAAAGGAGTACCAATATAGACACCCTGCTGTAAAACTGGACCAGTTGGATTCAGGAAGCAAGAACTCTATCAATCAGAAGACCCGATCACACATGAACAATGAATTTTAATCAAATACACTGTGATAGGTTGTAATGAGTAAATTTTAGTTTGGTGGGGAAAAAAAAAAAAGCAAAGCATTACTAAAACCAAGACCGCTTCTGGAAAGAAGCTTAAAAGTAGCACCGGAGACTTTTAATCGCAGGACACAGACACAGGGCATCAGCAAAAGCAAAGGACAAAGAAGCAAGGGGTAGAAACCCAGGTCATAGGGGAAGGTATAAAGAAAGCGCTCACCCCTCAGTTTCTTCCCTGGCCCCCATCTTTACTGTGTGTACAACAGAATGTTCTGATTACCAAACCTTTCAAACATGAAAATGTTTTTTAACTTCCTGTTCAGATAAAGTAGCATACATTTTTGAAATATCTCAAGTACAAGAGAACAATAGTGACTGTTTTTCTGACTAGAGCTACATCATGCCCAGGAACCAGCTACTTGCTCACTTACTAAGGAAGAGACCAGGGCTGAGCTGGACACACTGGACACTTTATCCACAATGGCCTGCTTCATGTATCTTTCAATGGCCTGCAACATTGTTCCCTAGAAATAGCCATAGAGGAAAAAAGCCGTTAAAGCAACAAATACATGAAAATGACCGTCTCAAAATAATTTACAAAAAGAGTCACTTCTGTGCAAATATTTACAATGCATTAAAGAGATCACCACATAATAATCACATCCCATAACGCAAAACCAAGGCAACCAAGTGGAAGCTTTAAGGAAGTGCAAGAGTTCATGTAAGAAAGAAAAATAACTGTTGAAATGAACTGTCTCAACATAGAGAACCCCCATCTGGGGGAAATATACATGTATAGACAACCGATCAAGGATGTTATAACAGAATCCACTGTATGGGGACAGGAGCAGGTTGTGAAATCTTAAAGTATGTGAGATCATATTCTTTTATGTGAAGGGCATATATTTTATGTTTTTCAGAGAATCCCATAAGTTAAATGTAGTCCCTGATTATTTTAGAAATATTAGAAATCAAATGTGGAATAACTAACATATTCAGAACTCAATATAAAATTCTCTGAAAATAGTTATTTTTCAATTTAACTGTAAGAAAGTCCAGCAGTGGGAGGGAGCCATCAGACGTGTAAACAAACCAAGGTCAACAGCCAAAGTCGTGTCGCCAGCACTGGCACCGTCTACTCTTAGGCTGTCAATTTAATATTAAAAAAAAACAACCACAACCAAACAGATGAGCAGCAAAAACTCTGAAACCATTTTTTAATTATTATTAAACCATTTCCAGCACTCTTTTAGGATCCAGATTTACATTGGTCAATCTTTAAAACTTGACAAAATTGCAAACATATACATGAAACAAATCCAAGCATAAACAGAACTAAAATATTACTCAGTCTGTTAAGCAATACAAATGTCCTTGGTTTTTAAATACCATCCATTGTAACCTCTCCTGTAGTCCTGAGAAAGGGACAGCCTAACATTCTGTATAGTCTCACCTCTTCAGAGGCAACAGATGGGCTTAGGACAAATACCTGACTCTGACCCAGGTCGCTGGGTAACAGCTAATGAGATTCGCAAATATTTGAGTAAGGGGACTTGAGTCTGGTCAGTGACAGTTCGTATTAATGAGTATCTGAGAAATCTTGCTGCTTCTGAGCTCCAGAGATGTACTATGCATGGTCTGGCATCTGGTTTTAAGCTGTGCAGCAAAAGTTTGAAAAATCTATATCCCATAATAGTTATTTTTAAAACTAATTTTTAAAAAAGATTCTTTACGCATATAAGAGTTGGGATATAGGCCAGCAGTGGAGGCATTTGGAGGGGTGAGAAGATTCACCAGAGACAGAGTGGGGAGCAGAGCAGACAGATCTACTGAAATGCACTCTGAGGGTGAGATAGGAGAGGACTGCTGCACCAAATGGGTCAGCTCCCTGGCGGAGGATCAAACTTGAACTCCGGTTGCAGTTATTGCGGATAGCTTCACAGTGCTGAGTCTTAATGCCTAGGCCACCAGAGAAGCTCTTTAAGGCTAAATCTGAATGGACCTTTGTTTCCTGCAAGCAATGTGCCCTGGCCATGACAAAAGTCCATGGAGTAAGCACAGAAAAATGGACTAATTAAAAATAAAAGGACACAATAAGGAAAAAGAAAAAAAACCTGGAGCCACAAAAGCTTTTCTAGTAGTCACGTTTCTCTCCTGCTGATGAATCACAAAGTTAGAGCAGGGAATCCTACAAGGTTTACATGGCCACCTACCATGTCCCTTTGAGATCCCGCAGTAAAACGAAAACAACTTACATCAGTGATTCTGCAGAGCGCCCTTATGGCTGGGCCTCGGTACACATCTTCCTTTCCAGTCATGTCCTTAGTCAGACTAAGAAAAATCAAATTAGTCAACATGAGACCAGTCAGAACAAATCTTCTCTCATGGCGAGGCCACCCCCTAGTACTAGTTGTCCCCGTAATTATCTTAATGCAGCTGTTGAGTCAATGAACGCTTACTATCTACTTTGTATAAACATTAAAACTACAGGGCAAAAACTGTCCCAATTCTAAAGGTACAATGAGCAGATCACGTCTTTGCTTTCACGAAGTTTACATCCCAGTACATTTGATTGCCGTAGGAAAAATTACACAATTTCAGAAACTTAACTGATACAGAGTTCCCAGACCCAAATTTTAAAAATCCGTCAGTCCCTCTCTCAGATGTGGCTTCCTACAAGGACAACTGTCAGTGCCGTCGGCCCCCACGCTGAACTGCAGAGGGATGTGCGCTGAGCCAGTGTCCTGGTCACACGTGAGAGTTTGCTTATTTTATTCATCCTTTGCCCTCGCTTCTCTTAGCCTCTACACATTTAAACTGCCTCCAAACTACTTCCATTCTTCAATTTCTTTTTTAACTTTAAAAATATTTAATTCGGACCCTCCCTGGTGGCGCAGCGGGTTAAAGCACCGCACTGAGAAGCTGAGGCCACTTCCTCATGAGTTCGATTCCCGCCTGCCCCGGAGGTGACCACATGGCGCGGCAGACCTCTCCTGACCCACCCGCTGCTCCCCTCAGCAGTGTACTTCGTCGATCTGCCTGTTCTGCTTCCCGCTCTGTCTCTGGTGAATCCTCTCACCCTCCGCATCTCTGGCCTGTACCCCAGTTCTATATGAATAAATATTTTTAAAAAAATATTTAATTCATGTAAGAGTACATTTTAAGAACATACAAATGTAAAAGGCTACTGTCCCCTTATCTAACTTAGTACGCAGTTTCACTCAACTAAAGATGACCACTGTGGCTAACATCACTTAAATTTTCTTAAAGACATTTAATACATGGACACAACCACAGAGTCCGAGCAAAAAGCCGATGGCTTTCTAGTTTTGTAGCTCTTTCTTTTTACTTAATTTGAGAATCTTTCCATATCTGCGGATGTTTTAAAATGTCTAGATGCTTATCTATATCTTCTTACGCAGCTAAAATAACTTTTTTTAAAGATTTATTTATTCATATAGAACTGGGGTACAGGCCAGAGATGCGGAGGGTGAGAGGATTCACCAGAGACAGGGTGGGGAGCAGGACAGGCAGATCGACGAAGTACACTCCTGAGGGGAGCAGCGGGCGGGTCAGGAGAGGTCTGCCACGCCATGTGGATCTCCTCCGGGGCAGGCAGAGATCGAACTCATGTGGAAGTGGCTGAGCTTCTTAGTGCAGTGCTTTAACCCGCTACGCCACGAGGGAGGGCCTAAAATAGCTTTTTAATATTAGCACCAGTTTCCAGTGTTTGGTTGTGAATAATTTTGCAGGCTCTTTCACAAATTTTTGCATTTATCTGAATACATAAAAAACTGAAGCTTGGCAGGTTTTGTTTCTTCTAAGACTTCTTCTGCAGGCTGGTAGATCACATGAAGGCAGTATGCACAATACCTAAACAGAGATAGGACTATGTCCAATAAAACTTTATTTACAAAATAAAGAGGCAGCACAGTCTTAGCTGTAGGCCAGTGCCGAACTGCTCAGGACTGTACTTCTGAGTTTGCGCTGCCGCAGGGACATCATGTATGGGCCTGTCTAGGAATGTGCTTGGCGCGTGTACTGAGAGAGCAGGACAGGGAAGTGAACAGAGCAAATTAGCATCAAGAATTTTCCTGGAGTGGGTCACTGTCCTAGGCAACTGCTTCTTCAGTACCCATAACAGTTAAATGAGGAACCCTCTGAAATACATCTCAGAGCCCTATATCCAAAGGATTAAGAGTAAAAAAGAGATCTCTGAGCCCATCTGAGAATTAACCCTCCAGTATGAACTCCATGTTGTCCTTTAAATTGAGTGGTAATTTACATACAATAAAAATGCACAGCTTTACGTCCCCAGCTGGGTAAGTTTTGGCAATTGTGATCACCTGGCAATTTGTGAGCTCCCAAAAGACAAGAAGTCCCTTCTGCCCACTTCTTATCATTTTCCTTACCCATCAGACTTCAGTTTCCTATCACCACAGAGAAGTCTGGACAAGTTTTAGCACACATATAAGAATCATTCCGAACGTGTTCTTTTGTGTTAGCTTACTTTACTCCAACATAACATTTAAGAAGTTTGTCCCTATCGTTGCCTGAGTCGGCACTGTTCCTGTTTATTGCTGGGTAGTAGTCCACAGGTTTGCTTTTCACTTCATTAATGTTATCACCAAAGCTACTATGAAAAGCTTGGCCAGTGTTTTCTTGACCACATAATTTCATTTTCTTGGGTAAATAACTAGCAATGTAATACTGGTTGCAAGGTCGGTATATGTTTAACTTTATAGGAAGCTGCTAGGCTTTCCCCAAGGCAGTTAGAACATTCTGCATTCCCACTAAGTTTTGAAAAGTTTCAGCTGTTCCATATACTTGGTATAGGAGGAGGCTTTTTACTTAGGTCTCATCCAACTTTATTATTTTAACCATTCTAAAGGGTATGGAATGTTCATTGAGGTTGTTTTTTTTTTTTTTTTTAATCTCATTGAGGTTTTTTAATTACTCCTAAGAACCTTTCCAAGACTATGGGTCATTCATACTCTTTTGTGAAGTATCTGCCTTTGGGTTTTCTTAATATCCAGTTTCTTACCAAGCTTGGTACAGAACTGTACCAAGACATATGGTACCAACTGTAGACAAATGTAGAATGATCATCTACTTATATCAGTTTTCTATTCTTGCTAAAACAAATGACAAGTGGTGGCTTAAAACAACAAAAATTTATTATCTTACTGTTCGGTGGGTTACAAGTCCAACAAACACCTCATTAGATTAAAACCACTGCCAGCTGGGTTGCCTTGTCTCACAAACAAAGCATTATCTCATCTCAAGACCCGCCTCCAAACTTTCAACACCCTATAACATCGACTCAAAGTCCAAAATCTCCTCCAACCCCCACTGCAGGGAAAATGGAGTCAACCAGCCTCTCAGGCTGCCTCCTGCGGCCTTGCTTTCCTCCCAGGTTTCACCGCCCACACGTGGTAACGTGTGCTGAGGGGAGCGTGGACGCTGAGTACCCACCACAAAACGGAGAGCAGGAGCACAGTGTACCTGTGATGCTGGCACCAGAGTGAGAACAAGGAGGTCCCCAAGAGCGAGAAAGAGGCCAGGGAGCGCTCAGGAGAGTTACACTGGTGTCTTCAGTGTTGTTCAGAGTGAATAAACTGACCTCTTGCTCTTTCCAAGATTTTAGCAAAAGGGTATATAGTGACTCCTTTAACTTTTTCCCTAGAACATTCTTTCCAAAGAGTGAAGCTCTCTGCCGTTTTGAGCAGCTCAGAATTTTTAGTCAGAACTCCTGGTTCTCGTTTAACAGGACTCTCATCAATTCATTTCCCTACTCTCAAATTTTTCTATAAGTAGCAAAAACAAATCAGGTCACACCACGACATTGCTTGGAAATTCTTCAGTTAAAACCCAGTGTACGCCTTATAAATTCTGCTTTCACAGAACTGCAGCATGATCCCACCAAATGTTCTGCCACGATACAGCAAGGGCAGGGGGCCCCTTTCCTCCAGCTTCTACCACTTCCCTCACTTTCTTCTGTGCCCTCCCAGCCTCGACGTCCACATTTCTACCAAGACTTCCGCAACAAGCGAGTGTCCTCTGAGCTGATGTTTTCTCTCTCCTGCTCCCCACTTCCTTCTGAGTCTAGTAGTCAGTAGCACCTAACGTCTATTCAAGGCAATGGAGGCTTCTCTATCGTGCACCTCAGAATTCTTTCAGCATTTGCTCATTGCCTGATTTACAAAGCAAAGTTCTACATTACTAGGTATTTGTTACTGCAGCACCCAATTTCCAGGCACAAATCTGTACCAGTTAAGTTTTTTTTTTACCAGCTTTATTGAGATATATGACCTCGGTAAGAATGACGTACTCAGTGTATTGATTTGATGCACATATATTGCAAAATGTATTCACTTTCTATTTGCTGCTGTAACAGATTACCATAAACTTAGAGGCTTAAGACAACATTTCTTTATCTTAAATGTCTGTAAATGACTAATAGAGGTCTCGCTAGACTAAAATCAAGATGTCAGCAGGGCTACAGTCCTTTCTGGAGGCGGCAAGAGTGAGTTCATTCCCTTACCTTTGCCAGCGTCCACAGGTCACCCTTGCTCCTCGGCTCAGGGTCCCCCTCACCTAGCTCCTAATCCACCGAAAATGCTTCTCTGCCTCTGCGTCCGCCATCACGGTTCTCTACGAACCCTTCTCTGCCGCCCACTTCCACTTTTAAAAACTCCTAGCCCAATATTGGGCTCACCTGGGAAATCCAGGCTCCTTCCTTTCTCTGCCGACTAGCTACTTTACCACCGATACTCACAGGTTGCAGCAATTAGGACAGGGAGGTGGGGCAGGAGATAGTGTTTTTCTGCCCACAAGAGCTACGAAAGTCAACTAGGAAATGGACTTAAAGTCACCTAGAAGCAGCATAATCAAGAAGCCCCAAGGGGACTCAGGGAAGTATAAACAGATAAACAAACACCTTCAATCGGTAGCTGACTAGTCTGTTTTTAATGTTTCCAATACTGGGTGAGCCTAGCCATCTAAGGGAAGATGTTCTGTTTAGACACTGTTAGCTAGCTCCCATTTTCAGCTCCTTCTCCACTGCCTGCCCCTAATACTTGGACAATAAAAGCTAACTACTCACTCTCCTGGCCTCCAGGATAGTCATACAGCACCACTCTGCCAGATGAACCTAAAAGTTGCCTTGGGAAAAGCTACTGCAAACCTGATAAAAGAGACAGATGGTGCTGGCCCTCCCGGCTGTCCCCCAGCACCCCGCCAACCTGGAGTGGTGGACTGCCAGAAATTTAGGCATCTATTCTGCAATAATGTAAGGATGTCCAAAAGAACTCAAGAGACGCTAGCCCTGGCACTGTTAAACTGTTGAACCAACACCAGCTTCACGGTGCCTATTTTAGTTTCAGTTACTATTTGCATCTGGCTATGTTGTTTTCAGGTGAAAACTTTACCAATTGAAATTACATTCAACACAACTGCTGGTTAAACATAAGCACTCTTCTCCAGAATTTGTTTTGCTCTACAAATACCAGATTCACATAAATGAATTATAATTAACAAGGAAAGTGGCAACTTTTTAAAAAATAACATTTGTTACATATTTTAGAACTCAAGTTATACACATTCATTCTAGGATACTTGGGAAACTAACAATCCAACACCCAGAGAAAACCTACTGTAACAAAGCAGTGTATTCCCATCCATATATTTTTATGCAATATGAAAATTAAAGATATTTAAAGTGATACTATACAGAATAAAGGCTTAGACGCCAACTCTCACTGAACACTGTATTGAGATCTTTTCTGCATCATTACGATGTTCCAAAAATAATTTTTAAAACATTAAAGTACTGCATGATTATAACATGGTTAATTACATAATTATTAACAATGACTTAAGTTCTTTTACCCTTTTTGTAATGTAAACAGTGTTGTAATGAACATCCTTTTATACAAGTCTTTCTGTGCTGAATATTTTGAGGACTTCTATAGAGGAGGTATTAATGAGTGAAAGAAATAAACCCTTTCAAATATTCCACAAATGCTGCCAAGTAATTGTGGGGGAAAAAATAAAAATCAATCAACCTATTTATTAAACTACTCCCCATATATAAGACTATCAGTCTCTCTTGCAAGTATAGACTGCTGTAACTTTTTTGCCAATTTGGTAAGTAAAAACACTGTAATTCATTTTTGGACTTTTAATTTACACTTCTGACTACTAGGAAGAAGAACTATTTAAAGATATTTAGTTCCTTTATATTGGTGATCTTAGGAATTACCACTTGGAATTTTTTTTAAGTATGTAAGTTCTTCATACATGATAAATGCTCACCCTTTGATGTATTTGTTGCAAATATTGCCATGTATCACTTTCTTCTTAGTTTTGTTTATGTAATCTTTATGAACATTTTAAAATATAACCACTATTTATCCTCTGTGATTTCTTTCAGGCAGGGACAGTTTTCACATGATAATAACCACATTTAAGAAAAGAGAACTTGAAGATACTACATTCTTTTAAATCCTATTGAATTTCCAAAAAAGTAACTTTAATATAGAAATAAAACAACAAATATGCTACTAGCTAAATGAAACCCCACCCTCGGTTTTGAGCACTCACATACCTGCTTGTAACAATTATCACATCTTCAGAGATGTTAGCCATTTCTTTGATGGTAAGGTAACACATTCTTCTCAATGTTTGCTGAAATTTTTTTATAAAATGCAACAAGTTAATCAAAAGAAAATGATTTTTTTAACTGCCTGAATAAACCACAGATATATTTAGAAAGTTAATCTTTAAGTTTCTCATCTACCCGAGAATTATTTTACTGTCTAGATGAAAAAATATGCAGGATACCGCTATTTCCTAAACATAAGTAACTGATTAACTGACACACGGGGAAACACTTAGATGAAAACTCAAAAGTTCAGCTATTATATAGGTCTTCTTACAAAGAGAAGCAAACTTGGATTCTGATAGTGTGACAGCAAAGACAGAGGTTTTTAACATCCTGAAGTCTTGTCTTGGCAAATATATTTTTTGTAAAATATATTTTAAAAAAAAAAGGAAGGATTGGACAGATACACAAACTGCATCTTTGCTTAGTTTCATATGTACCGACAGTAAACTTTAAAGTGTTATGATTGTATAACTAACTTCCAATTTCAGTGATCAAGGTTCTAGGTGGATAGCTGGATACAAACTAGTTGTTAAAAGTAATAAACCTTTACCCTTCCCTCCTCACCTGGGTTTCTGATTTATTCATCTGCCATGGGAAATGGTTCCTCTCACCTATCTAGCCTCATTGCCTATCAAGTTACTGCAGAATATGTCAGACCCAACTCTAGAGTCCAAGCTATGGAGAAAATGTGGCAGCGACAATTGTGCTCATGAAGGAAAAAGAAGGAAGTAAGGACCCTCATGACAACTGAATGGGAAAAAAAAATCCCCTCAGAAAATGTGTAAAAGTACAGAGTAGATGATACTTATATAAAGCTACTATGAGGGGAAAAAAAAGAATCAAAACTTCAGCACTAAAATAATTCCCTCTTCCCCTCCTGCTCCCACTCAATAAGAAGTCGACCACAAAGAAAACTGGAGACCTAAAAAAATTAACTAAAGCACAAAATTTAAGGCCTCAATTCTATTGGTCATCAGGAAAAATGCAAATTAAAACCATGTATCAGATCACCACCACACATCCACCAAAAATGGTTAAACTCAGAAAGAGTGACAGTATAAGTGTTGGCAAAGATGTATTCCTCACCACTAAAATACAAAGCCAGCAATTAAAATATGAGCAAAGTTAATATAAATATGTAGCCAAGGGCAAAATGAAAGGAAATTCACAGGTGCCAAAAATGAAAAAACAAGCAACTCACAGTCACTCAGAGCCAAAGACAGGATCTTAGCAGCATGGGATAAGGTATCTGAGTCAAAGAAGAAAATATCCTAAAAGGTAAATTCTTCAGACACAAGAAATATTATTCTAGATAGTAACTCAGTGAGGAGTAAAAAGTAAAAAAAATAAAAGTGGTAAATAGTAACAAATATCATGTTTTAGTGAAAGAGTAGACAGCTTAACAGAACAGAATAGAAAGCCCACATTAACATAAACTGCTCTTGGGCAAAGGAGCCAAGGTCACACATACAGCAAAGAGAGTCTCTTCTACAAATGGTGCCCGAACAACTGAACATCCATATGCAGCAGACAGATCTGGCACCTTGTACAAAAACTAGGTCTAAATGTAAAATGCAAACTATAAAATTGCTAGAAGATAACACAGGAGAAAACCTAGAGGCACTGGGTATGCGGTTCACATTTTAGGTACAGCACCAAAGGCTGGATCCATTAAATTAAAAAAGACAAAACAGGACTTTAAAATGTTAAATTCCTGCTCTGTGTAAGACAGCATCAAAAGGATGAGAAGACATGTCACAGACAGGAAATATTTACAGAGCACATAACTGATAAACGCCTGTTCTCCAAAATATATTTAGGAAATCCTTAGAACTCATAAAATTGAAAAAATAACCTGATTAAAAATTAGGCCAAAGGAACTTATCTACCACAGATACACAGGGTTCCACATACAAAGATGCTCCGTGTGGCATGTCATCAGGGAAAGATCAACTGAAAAGAATGAAATACCACTCCGTTCCCTTTAGGTGGCCCAAATCCGGAAGATTTACACCACCGAGGACCCAGGGGTGGTCTTTTCCCAATGGGCAGTGGGAACAGGAAGGAGAGGAGTCCCCCATGAACATGCTCTCTTCCGCCCATTTCTCCCTTTCAAATATGTTCAGCCTGTGGCTTTCCGACCTGATTGCCTTTTTGAAGCTGACAACCATAAAGTAATTATAATAATCAAGAACTACAAAATTTCAAGAAAAAAAGCAGCACCGGAGAAAATCTTTGTGATCTTGAATTAGGCAAAGATGTCTATGATTCACATCCAAAGTCCAATCCATAAAGGAAAAAGCAAACTGATAAACCAGTTTCATTTCATCAAAATGAAAAAGCAAGCCAGAGAGTGGGAGAAATATTTGGAAAAGACATCTGATAAAGGACTTGTGTGCATAATATTTGAAGACTCAGCAAGAAACTCTATCTTGCCCATTAAAAATAAGCAAACTATATGAAGAGGTCTTTCATCATGGAACATATATGAAAGGTAAAAAAGCACATGAAAAGATGCTTGAGGTCATGAGCAACAAGTAAATAGCACAACAAAAATACAAAAGATACCACTACATGGCTACTAAATTGGCAAAAATTAGAAACAACAAAAGATAATACTAAGTGCCGGTATTGTTTCAAGAGTGTGTCCCTGCCGGGGAGGGGACAGTCACTTAGGAAGCAGGCTGTTTGCCACAATGTTAAACAAACACACATCTATCACACATATCTATCAGGACCCGGCAATCCCACTAAAGTATTTATCCAAAAGAAATAGTAGCTATTAATGTGTTCAAAAACTTGTAGATAAATGATAACAACTTTATTTATAAACACCTAAAATTGGCACCAAACCAAACACCTTTTACCTGGTGAACAGGTAAACTGAGGTCTACCCATACATTGGAATTCTACAGTAAAATAAAAAGGTGAAAACTACTGCTACAAACAGTACAGGGCACATCTCGGGATGCGTTATGCTGACTGACTGTGCACCTCTGAAGGCTTCACCGAGAAAGGACAGCATTCTTCCCTGGAAAGGAGAAACAGAAGGGAAGAAGACACTGTGGCTGCTTGGGGAAAGAGGTCACAGGAAGAGGCGTGAGGGTACTTTCTGGACACTGGAAATGCCCTAAATCTTGATTCAGGGGTGGCACTACTACTAGATGTGTTTGTCACAATTCCCAAATGCCCAAAAGGGCATATAAATTACAAGTTTTCAAAAAAGAAAAAATGCGGTAAGTAAATGAAAAGGCAAGCCTCAGACAGAAGGAGGTATTTCCAGGCTGCCTAGCTAGTAAAGAGCTTGCATCCAGAAAACAAAAAACATTTACAACACAGGGAGGAGACAACCTGACTTTCAAAAAAAGTACAAGAGCTGAACAGACACTTTACGTGACACACACCACATATTTGTTTAATGCATTCTTAATACTTTTCATCATTTTTGAAATGTAAATAAAGCATGACACTGCCAGATATTAACCAAAGAAAATGAAAACACAGGTCCACACAAAGCCTTGAGTGGAATAGTTTCAACAGCTGTTTCGTAAGATGGCGACAGCTCAATTATCCGTTAACCTGTGAAAGGGTGAGCAGGCTCTCCCAAACACTGGCGTCCTACTCAGCGATAACAATGAACAGCTACTGACACGTGCACAAAGCTGGGTCAACCCCAAAGCCACAGACTATGAGAGAGAAGACAAACAAGGGATAAATGACTATCCACGGAATGATTCGATTTAAACAAAAATCTAGAAACTGCTGTTAGAAAGCAGACAGTGGCTGCCAGGCGCTACGGGCTGGAAGAGCCGGCGACTGAGGACGGCGGGCCACTGTGGAAGAGGCAACGTTTCTCTATTGACTGCGGTGGTTCCTCCAGAGGCATCAGTCCAAACTTACTGGATGGTCCCTTAAAATCTGTCACGTAGTTAGACTCAAGACGCTGATTTTCACAAGAAGACTAAATCATTCTTAAACCTACAAATCAGGAGCAGGAGCATAAATACACGAAGACTAGGAACAGACTTTCCACAGAGAGGAAAGTCAAGTGGCCTTTAAACATATGAAGAGGTCTTCTATTTCAGCCAGGACTATCAAAATGCGGAGTAAAACCACAACAACATGCCATTTAACACTCTTTCCAGTGGCAAATATTTAGGTTTGATAACAAGTTATAAGGAACAGGCAAGGATTGGGAGCTATGTAAATCTGTAAACTGGTACAACCCACTTTAGGAGCATTTTGACAGATTAAATAACGAGCATTATCTAGAAATTTCACTGTGTTTTCCCCGGAAAAATGTTCACAATGTACACAAGAAGACATGCACACAAACCTGAGAATTATCATCTGTAATAGCAAATGAGCAGAAGGAACTCATACCTATCACCGGAGAATGGATAAATAATGGGGTTACTGTATAGTCACACACTGACCTGCAGCAGTGAAACTGAGTACGCACAGCAGCAAGTACATAGATACCAGAAACAGGTTGTTTTAAACTGCAAAATAATATGAAGATGTTCTCGCTCATATCTTAACACACAAAAATACTGAGTGTAGATTATGGACGCAAATGTGTGTCATACATATGGCTACTTCCTCAGTCTCTGCAAAAACCCTGAAGGAGCCGTAGGGACGACTCATGTTTGTGTCCACGGCCTACATATCCCGGTCATTACTCACTCGGACACTTACTGCCATTGCAGCTGGGGGGACCTACTGGACTCCATCTTCGTCCTTCTGCAAAGCCCAAACCCCTCCCTCGTGTCCTCCGGCACTTTTATCAGCAAACTCCCTACTGTCCTTGCTAATTCCCATCTTCTCTCTAACCGAAACATGGCTCCCTGGTGAGGATGCCCTGAGGTCTTCTCCAGAGGTGACTGTTTCTCTCTGACAGCGTTTGTCTCCCCAGACCGAGAGGTAGGAAAGCTGTCCGAGATGGTCCTCACTGCCTTTTTTTCAGCATCACTGGGCCCGTTTCTTTCCCTAAAAAACCTGCCATAGACTCATCGCCAGCTACCAGTTATGACTGCATAATAATTTCCTTCAGAAAAACACTTTGCTCTCTCTCATAGTAGCCCCAAGTAATCATTTGTGACCTTCATATCCACACACACTATTTCTGCAGCCCTGGCCTCTCCATCCCTTGACCTCTCCTGCTCCAATAACCCAGTCCTCGCCTGAGTGCAACTTCCCACTTTCGTTGCCACAGCCTGCCAGTAATGGTATGCCTTCGCAATTTCACTGACAAATCTTTTACTCTCCAGTCACCACTTCTGACTCCAACACCCTCTTTACTCCACCACAGTCTGCAATCTGTGGACCGTACCAGCCCTTCAATTCTGCCCACCAGCCGCTACTCCTTCCTGCCTCCTAGGCCACCATCGAGCCAGTCAGTCCGCTGCCTCGCTCTCCTTCCCTCAGTTTACTAATCCTGCAAACCTGCACCCCGATGGAATGCAGTCTCTAAATGTTTCATGCCTTATCCTGAAGCCTGCAGCTAGGAAAAAAAAAAAATCTTTCTGTGCTACCTAGAATTCCTTAAAATCTATTAACACTAACTTCAAAGGGTTATTCCTCCTGCCCAATAATCCTCCGCTTCCCTAATCCATTTCCTGAAAACTGTTCCATGCCTTCTTTTCTTACACCAACCTCTGTGGCAGAGGTTTGTCCTCCTGTGTCTTCCCTGCTCTGCATCCTCCTCCCCACACCATGCCTTCAACTTCTGAGCAACTGCACCTTCAGGCCACTACCAGACACAACTACAGATTCACAGCCACAGTCCCTCTGTGCTCCCACTCCAGTGGCTTAAAAAGCCTTGCTTCCTCGTCTATTTCCTTTCAAAATAATTCACAGTAGTTTTGCTTCCCTAATTGAACCCATTTTTGGCTTAGTGAGTAATTAAAGGCAAACAGGGCTTTAAGGATAGGAATCAGAAATTGCTCTGCTGACCTGATAGAAGGCATTAATTATCATGTCCAGTGATGAGTGGACACTGGTAATTCATGACAGGCAGTAATAAAATACTTAAATTACCCCTATAGATAAGTATAGCCAAGCACCTGTGGAAGATATAACTTTGGGTAACCGAGCCCTTGCTGCTATAAAACATTTCAGTAAAAATGAGTTGAATCTGGAGTAGTTTGTCACAGCTATGTACACCAGAGAACATGATAAAGAGAATAAACTCACAGGTGAAGGTTATTTCAGGGTGAGGGACTAGAAGCCTTCCACAATATCTTAGTAGGAAGTCTTAAGTTATATGATGCAATGTTTTAGTAGGAAGTCTTAAGTTATATGATACAAGGCTGAGTTCTAAAAAGCATATCCTGTGGGTGGCTGAATTACAATGCAAATTTAATTTAGATTCTTGCAGGGTATCTTATGATAAAGTCGGCAGCTCTGAGTGAGAAGGAGCAGGGCCCTGAAAATCGGAATGGGGAAAAATAGGAGCTTCTGAAGAAACTGAGTATGTGAACACCTAAATTCCTCCACAGCTCCTTTGCAAGTGAACGCAGCGCTCAGCCCCATCTGAGGAAATTAACAGCCAGCTGAGTGAGAACGTGGCATCCCCTGAGAGAGCAGCTTATGTGAGGACTGTGACACTCCCGAAGACCACTAAATCCTGAAACCTCTCACTATTTAGACATAAGGTCAGACTCAAATCCCAGCATGTCTTGGACCTGGTATCAGGCATGAAGCATGACCTGTGATGATATGCAATATATTTCAAAAGAACTACAATATTTGGTCAATTTATGCTAACAGGAAGCTGTGAAATATATAACCCAGAGTCCCCTTCCCTAGATGGCTCTGGATGAGAGAGACATATGTGCCACATTTGGAAGACAGAAGCAAAGCAACATGATTATGCTCTGAAAGTCGGGGTGGTCTAAGGGAATGGGAACCAGACGCAGAGGTGCTGGTGGCTTCAGAGTATCCTCACCGCTCTCTCCCCCCACTCCACATCCTCTTCTGCAGTCTACCCTAGCCTCTGCCCCGCTGAACAGCAGTGAGCTCAGAGCCATCAGAAACTTGACCAGGAATGCAGGGATGGGGTAGCGGTGTCCACACACTTCCACACTAGCGCATCCTTGCAGCGAGTATCACACCAGAAACTGGGTATTAACCATTTTTATGACAGCATGATAGGTCTGTGGGTGAGCAGCTTTATAATACACATTTTCGTATGTTCTTTAATGAGTACTTGTAAGTTGTATGAAGACAAATAATTTTTAAGTAATTCTAAACATTTTAAGCAACCCTCCCTAATTTAGAACATGCTAAGTACCTCAAGGAAAGTAAAAAAAAGCAGCCTTCTCATCCTGATAGAATGAAAAAAAAAAAAGACTTACATCATTAGATTGAAACAATCGAGTCATTGCAAAGAAGGCTTCTGTGGCTTCTGTAGTTCCAAAGTGCTCACCCTAAATAAAATTGAAAACAACTTCTTAAATTTAAAGTTATCTTCATAATTTTTTTCTTTATTTTTGCAAAAATTTGTCAGTACTCAGGAGAAAATTCTCTTTGTATACATTTTGTCTCTTTGCTATTTCTCTGACTTTTAATTTATAAAATGGCATGACTGTTTAGCTGTCTCTTATTTTAAATAAGTTACTATCACACACCAAGCGATAAGAAGTCTAGAATGTTCTCTAACCTTTTAGCATAAACTATTTTAATTTCCCTGAAGAACTGTGATTTACAAGGAGGTAGAAATGATAACAAGTGACCAGAATAGAATATTATTGCTATGCTGTTTAACAGAGATCATACCTCACACATTTCCATGACCAGCACAAAGCTTGCCATGTCCCAGGAGCACAATAAATAGGTAACTGTAAAGAATTAATTATTAGGGATTGCAAAAAAGGGACCAAGCTAAAGGGCAGGAACCAGATGAGTCATATAAGGTTTAACGGGATTTCAAAATACTGGCTACGTCCCTGAAAACATGCTTTGGACCATAACTTTAATATGCTTCACCAGTCAGCCTACAGATCTCGCCATAATGCAGATTCTGATTCAGAATCAGAAGCCCGAGGACACTGGGCAGCTCTAACCAGCTCCTAGTGACGGGAATGCTACTAATCTGGTAAGCACATTTTTCTGATTAACAATATATTAAGTGACCCATTTTACTCATATTTTAACACTGCAACTATTCCTAACAGACTGCTTGGAACATTACCATTTTTCAGTGTTTAATTTCTTCATTAAAAGCAATCCTATGTAATATATTAGGCTCAATCGCTTTTCAGAGCCTCAGCTTTCACATAGCTGATAGCTCGCCTTCCATTTATTTGTCATGGAGCTAAAAATATTTTCAATCGCTTTAATCAGAGTATCCAATTTGTTTATCAGTAAGCAATTTCACTCTTTTATAAATATTTAATGAATACATAGAAGTCCACAGACTTTCCAGTCATACTGATAAAGCACATAGTCTTCATTCTTTTACTCGAAACCCAGAAAACATAGCTGTATCAACTCTCGTTGGAATCTTAAAAGTATTTTTCCACAAAGCTCTACAAGTGGTAGGAAAAATAAAACTTATATTCCCAAGCCCATTTATTTATCAGACTGTGCCAGTAATTTCCTTATCAAGATAATGAAATACCTCAGCATGAGTTACCCAGCACAGAGGTGTTGCTCAATTTACAAGACCTTCAATTACCAGAAACTCTACTCATATAATGAACTTAGTGAATTTGATACAGTGGGTGCGATACAGTTGAATCAAACTAACTTTTCCTTAAATGTGTGCCATAGAAGGACATCATGTTGTGAACAGACCTATCTTATTTACTAGTAAGTATTGGCGGCTCAGTCTACAGTTGCAAACTATAAAACTTTATAAGTCTCTGGATGAGGTGTTCAGTTATGCAAATATTCCCAAAGAATTCAGATTGTAAACCAGTTTTCTTAGCACCATCTCTAAAGCAGGTGGTGTGCATGTGTGTGTTTGACTATATGAGAGTCTAAGAAACAAAATCACATTTCTAAGACCTGACACATTTCATGACTTTGTAGTCTGAAGCAAAACAAAACCCCACAAGATAAAATTAGCAAACAGAATTTATGTTCCCTTAGGACACATAGTTTTTCGGGGTTGGGTGTGCCTGCTATAAGCCTAGCACCCACAATATAGCAAGTGTGTAAGAAATATTTACTGAGTGGCTGAATGAAAATGATTCCCGAGCGCTTACTATGTGTCCAGCACTATTGTCAAAGCTTCACATGTATTATATTTAATCATTAAAACTTTATAAAACAGGTGTTATACTCCCCACTTACAGAAAAGGGCATAAAGTCACAAAACAATAAAGGTCAAAATCATATCACTAGTACTATAGAGTAGAAAGAAAAAATATAAAACCTAATTTTAAAATCAAGGCTCTAAGACATCACACTTATATTGTCCATCCCCCTACACAGGCACCAAAAGGGTAAAAGAGTATCTAGAAATTATGTAAAACTTTATATTTTGGGAGGGACATAAAAACCTTTGAACAAATCTCTGAATATATAACTAATACTTCTTAAACTCAAAGCAGTGCTGAGAATCTCATATGTGCTTAGCTGGTTTAGTACCTCAGGAATGAAAAAGTACATGTCACTGTGCTCAAGAAGTTTTATATATCATTGTGTTAATCAAACATAGCAGCTTTTAAAAATTAAGTGTACTAAAGTTATAATTGTATTTTCCAGGAAGTACTTTGCTGAATGTTAAGTCTTTCTTATCCAGGATACGTTGGTTAAGGAAAATCAAAATAATTTACCTGGTTCAGTAAGTAAAGAATCTTTGTAAGAATATGCAAACATCTTCTTGGGTTGATGGGTGTTTCATTGAATAAACGTGCCTATGGAAACAAAAGGCAATGTACTATATATGTTTATTTCCCACCTTGTCTAACATTGATTATGAAAAATCGACTTTATAAAATAATTTTAACATGAAAATTAGCCAAAAATACCCAAATAGTGATATCCAAATTCCAATTTAAAATTTCAATTTAATACGGAAGCTAATAGACGTGACCTTGATTTCGCGGTGTATACGCTAATTCATTTGCTCAGGCCTACTACTTCAACTTTCTGGGCCTTATCTATTAAGCATCACAATATGTATCTGCATCATTGGAATACAAGACACTTAATATCTGTAACTTTCTTCAATAGCCTTGTATGAAACACCTCTCCTGGCATTTTATTTAAAATTTTCAACATCTGACAGCATCTGCATGTTTTTGCATTTCTATAAACTCTAGACTCTCCTATAAGTAACCCCTCTCCCTTCTTCAAGTTTTCTGAACTCAGTTCTATTCCTTAATTCTTACTTGGGACCTTAGCATCTCAGAGTGTCTCTGCCCACCTTCTAAAATGGAAGAGAGAACACAATACACTTCCAAGCCATACCTCCTGTAAGACAGCACTCTTCTCCAGATGCCGAAAGGGATTGGAGCCACTACCTACATAATAAAACAAAAAATGTCCTTAGTAGAGGCCTATACAAGTTATTAACTTGGTACAGAAAGGTACTGAATGCTGGGCAAACTTCACCCAAGTGAGGTGACCCCTTGGCTATCACAATTGAATAAAACCATTTTAATTCTGGTACCAGTGCTGTCATTCTAAGATCCTGGACTTCATTTTTGCAGGAACTCTGTTCTAAACGAGTGTCTTCTTCCCCTGCTGCCATTTACATGTTACAATCATCTGTCATGTCCACGGAACGAAGTTTAATAAGACCATGGTAGGTAGGGCCTTTGGCTTTCCATAAAGGCAATCACTAGCTGATGTGTTTCTAACATTTCCTAAGAGGCGGAAAGGCACAACTTGGCAGAGAACCTTAAGGCTGGAAGGAGCCGTGGAGGTTCGCTAAGACAATCTCCTACCCCACCTCGTGAGAGCAGAGATGAAACATGGCATGGACAAACGTTTGTATAAGGCCGCTTGGCACCTTCTCCATTTGCTCTGGACCAAAGCTGGGTATCAGGTCGGAACTCGCTGTCGGATGCCTGTGCGTTAAACGAGCCAGGTGCCATGGGGCAGTCGTGTCCCCCTGGGATCGGCCAGCGCTAAGGTGCCCAGGAAGACGGTGAGACACGAGGCCCCTGGAAGTTCCTACACACACACTGCCCCGTCGATCCCAGACCCACTCTGGGCCCAGCA